CTGAGAGCGTGAACGTAGTGCCAAAGGGACAACTGCTTGACGCCGGTCACTCACGACTTTTTGTTGGTAATTTTTGTTTTGGCTCCGTACTTGTTGGGACCTTACCGCCGCAGACGGATATCCGTGGGATGAGGCGAGGTGTGTATTTCTACGGTCGACCTTTTCAAACTCCGCCCCTCCTTGCGGGAAGGCAGCATCGCTGTTATGCTGGTTGTCTGAAGGAAGCACCTTACTGCCGTTACATCTCTGTACAGTAAGCCGTACGACTTCGCCCTCGGACCTTGTGATTGCTGCTTTTAGTCTTACCACTCTTCAACCGACCTGTCTGGCATGGTAGGAACTTGAGGAACGATTGTTCAAGCCAATATAGCTCGATTGCTTCATCACGATAGGCAAGCCCGACCACCACGTCAAGGTAGCAGCAACAGTCCGGATTTTGTAAATCGGACTCAAATAATCAACAAATCAAATGAATAGATATCTTTGAAGCTATTACTTCGAAAAGAATATTCCGGAAAACCAGCATTGACTTTATATAAGACAGTAAACCTTCACTAGCAGGTGATACAATAAAACTAAGGAAAACTATGAACCTGTTAAAACTTTAGTCAGGTTCGAGTGAAGTTTTATTAGTCATTGCGTGACTATGGGTAGTACAGAAAAACTCTAATTTAAATCATCGCGTATTTAGAAACCATTTTCAGTCATCATAATGCATGTCGATTTAAGCACTTTACATTTATATTTTGTATGATGATAACAAAATCTGATATTTAGAAGGTGGAGTAACGATTACTCGAGAAGATAAATTTTGGGGATTTAGGTAGGGATTTGAGTGTCAAGTTATTATATAAATGCGACATGGAATTATGATCGGTTTTTTATTTCCATCGCAGTCTAGAAAACAAGAAGGGATTTCCAGTAACAATATAATCTCGAACAATCGATTGTACCGTAAAACTATTTAGTAAATACTGACATGACTATATATATATATATATATATATATATATATATATATATATATATATATATAAACTCCGCAAGTAGCTATCCTACAGTTACCGCCGGTCCCAAGCCCGGATAAAGGAGAAGGGGTGAACATGAGGTTAGCGACCCAATCTCGTAGAAAAACTAACCAGAAAAAATAATTCAAACCATTTTAACTCTGCCCTCCAAGTTGAAGGAAGAATTATGACGCCTCATGATGAAAGCCGAAATTTTTGGTAAGTCACGAGGCCGAAGCATCTTTTAACTACCAGAGCAACACTCTTTATAGGTACATGGAAGGTCCGGACAATGTGGGAGACTAGAAAACAGTCAAATAGCAACGTAAATGAGGAGATACAAATTGTCAGTACTCTGAATCAGCGAAACCCATTGGACGGAAGCTGGACAGCAAAGGCTAGGTACAGGAGAGGTGGTGCTGTACTCCGGTCACGAAGGTTAAAATGTTCTATACACTCAGAGAGTAGCTGTGATGGTGTCCAGGGAAACACGAAATGCACTTGTAGGATGAGAATCTCACGGATCCAGGATAAGCAAGTAACCATTCAAAACAAGGAAATAGGGGGGGTCACAATGAATGCTATCCAACGTTATGCACCCAACAATGATATCAACGACGACGACAAAGATCAGTTCTACTCGAAGCTGCAATTATTCATAGCTAAGTGCTCCAGAAAGGATAACACCATGCTGATGAGAGATCTAAATGCTGAAGTCGGAGTGAACAACACAGGATACGAAGATACCATGGGACGACATGGACCATGAAAGAGATAGGAAACTGGGGAGAGATTTGCAAATCTATGTGCATTACACCAATTGGTTATAAGCGGCAGAATGTTTCCACACCAACGCAAACAAAGTTACACGGATCTTACAGGACCACACCACAGAGAACCAAATAGATCAAACTTGTATGAATAAGAAATTCCGTAAGACAATGGAAGATGTGAGAACCAGGAAAGAAGCTGAGATAGCTTCAGATCACCACCTGGTTGTGGCCAAGATGAAACTGAAGATAAAGAAACACTGGATAACTGGACAAAAAGAAGTGCAAAGGTTTCATATCAAGCAGAACAGATGAACTAAGGAGTAAGCTGAAGACGATAGAAGAAAACCACCTGCTTCTGTCTGGGCACCCGCACAGCATCACAGCCCTCACACAAATCTAATGAAATAACAATTACTTCACCAAATACTATGCTTGCTTCAATTGGAATTCAGACAATCCACATTCACTTGATAACACACAATCTTGTTGTTATTATTATTATCATCATTTTTTATATACTACATCACTCATATCTTCCTCTATTCCCGCTTCATGTACAACCATTTTTCTACTTATACAGCAGCTCGCCCATGGTGGGAACTCTGTCATATCTAAACGATCTCAAGTCACTGTCTCGTCGAAAGTGAATGTATACAAGACCGCCGCTTATTTTGAAGTACCTATCTGGACTCTGATCATGCCCCGATCTGCGCCAATCTTATCTTACTTTTCAGTGACCAACGAATTCATCGTCATCAACGGATTGATGTCAGTAAATTGATTGCAACTCCTGTCGCAAGTATTGAACCGAGCCCGCTAACGGCTTCGCAAAGAGTCTCGCTTATAAGCACTGGGTTTCTTCACCTTCCCTATAACTCATTAAAGCCCATCCATCTACCTCGAGTGACCACGAGTTTGACCTCGAACGAAGACTGTTACGTAATGAAATTCGGCAAAGCTTGCTTAAGGACCGAGAAGCCTGGTGGTCAGAGCGTGCCAATGAGTTGGAAGCAGCAGTTGCATCTGATGGCTGCCGGAAGCCTTTTTCAACTCATCCAAGTCACTGGCAGCAAGAAGTCTGGTGTGAGCGAAACAATCCTGTACTCACCCTGGGTGGTGAGCAGATTGAAGTAGTTGAGAAGTTAGTGTATCTAGGTAGCTGCATAAGCGCTGGTGGTGGCGTGAGTGATGAGATCAATGAACGTATAGTGAAAGCCAGAGCAGCTTATGCCAATCTGGGCTATCTTTGGCACCTTCGTGATGTTAGTCTGGCTGTAAAATGTCGGATCTACAGTGAGTTGGTGAGAGCAGTTCCGCTCAATGCGTGTGAAACTTGGCCTCTCCGAGTTGAGGATGTTAGACGACTCTGTGTTTGATCATCGTTGTCTCCGAAGGGTTAACGACATCCAGTGGCGACACCATGTTAGTAATACAGAGGTTTGGTGTCACATGTTCGTGCCCAGTGACGATAATCCAAATGGTGTCACCATCTTGAAACACTGACTTCGGTGGCTTGGACATGTTCTACGAATGTCGTCCCAGAGAACTCCTTGCCGTGCATTATATGCCGACGCTACGACTGGTTGGGAAAAGCGGAGAGATGGGTATCATCACACAGTAAGACAATATCATCCGCATACTCAAGTTCGAGAATTTTTTCTCCAGGCAACCGATGTATATCGCCATTCACTACACGTGAATTGATCTCTTCACCCACAGAACACTCCTGTCCTATGAATCAGATTGGTTTTTGCGAGCTAGCATTTCATGAAATCTGAGTAACATGCAAACTATTAAAAAGGCCAATTTTCTGGGAGCGATCGGACGGTGCAATAACGTATTTACACTGGGGATAGTATTTATATATAGGGCAACAATGAGTAGAATCAGAACAGGTCATCGCAAAAATTAAAAACCCCAATAAATTAAATCAGTAGCTATTTTCGACGGTTATTTCAGACTTTGAAAAAAGAAGTGAATAAAATATACTGCGTTTACACAGTTAATATGAATAGTGAACTTCAACAGTTATGTGGACAAAGCTGCACCACATCCAATGAAAAAATTATTCTTAAAAATTACAACGACTGTAGCGTGGCATATCAATTGACACTCCTTTTTACTAACTGGCAAGTTATTTGTGAATCTATTAGTTGCACAATGTATACGAAGTTAATAACATAGCAATATGAGTTTAGGCAAATGTATATCTCAACTTAGTCGTGATTTTAACCTGAGCGTATATTATATAAACACTATCTTCAACAACCGTTAGAGAACAAAGATCATTTTAAACAGCAGGCTACGGGATATGTAAGCACTTAGAAATGAACTGATTTAGATGACGATCTTGATTTTTCAGTTTTCCAAGTTTAATAAAGAAATTGTGGTTGACACCATAACAATTCGTAATACTTATATAAAATAATAATTAACAAGATTTTCAGATAACAGACATCGTACAGTGCAAGGATTTTTAATGAAATAGCTCAAAAGAAAATGAAATACTACCGTCAGTGTTGCAACATAGAAAACCATAAAATGAAACCAGTTTCTGTACAAGTAGTCATGATAAAGATGTTTGGAGCTCCGCTTTTTCTGCTGTGAAACAATGAAAGGAAAGATTCAACCGAAAGACTAAAGAAATTCGAACATTAATATGTTCAACTTACACCTTTACACCATACTATCAGTGCTACAATACAACATTCAAAAGCTTTGGGTGGTGAGCTCTTGTATTTGCCTGCGCTAAATGTTGAGCGTTAGGAATCTTAAATATTCACTGACAGATAATAAATCCAGGATTTACCAGGAATATGAAATTTCGCTCATCATTTTTGATAACAAATAAAAGATTTAAACTAAACAAAACCTTGGATACTTTATAACCAGAAATGCATTTTTGAATTTGATTGAGAATTTTGTCATGTTAACACTCTATCGAAAAGTAATGGGGGACAGAGAAGTGTAGTGAAACAATTGTTACACAATGCAGAAAACACAAAACGGTTACATACCATATAAGATTTGTCGACTATTTCCTAGTTTAAAAATAGATGTCTTTTGGACAAAGAGCAAATATTAGTAAATCATGTACTATTCATAGAATTAGTCCTGAAAAGTCTGTTAGGAGAAAGAAAAGACCCGTAATTACTAACTAAAACTCTTGATTTCGACGTGATCAGAGCTGATAGACAAGAACACCAAACATAAATCTTACAAAGGTTTTGATTGAACGGATTTGATGCGACCAACCTGATAACACTAAGTGGATATCCAAGATTGAAAATCGAAATTGAGATTTCACCTTCGATTCCATCTCACTTGCCAAATAACATGGAAGGACAAAAAGACATACTGTTGTAGCACTTTGCATCACAACCTGAGGGATAAAAGGTAAAGAAATTTGAGTGCTGTGCCATAACTTCACGTTATGAAAAAGTGATCTGTGTAAAGTTCGTGGGGAACTGATGTCATAATCATCATATGGTCATTACATCATTAGTTTACGCCCAGATCGCCAAACGTCTCGTATTTCCACGTGATATATATCAGCTGCGACACGTTAGGTACGGTTGACAGTCTAATTCCTCAATGAGCGCATCGCTATTTAGATAGTAACAGTATCACTGCGTCGTTTAGACAGTAGTTCAATTTATTTTGTTTACTAATTTTTACACATAAATGTTGGTAAAAAAAAGGGCACCAAATGCATATGCTTAATCTAACTGAAAAGTAAAACCATTTCTCTAAATTAATCATCTCCTAATAGGAATATAGAAGTGAATCCTTTTATCAAGATCTTTGGTTATATTTTAGCACTATTTTTATATCAAACAAAGGAGAATTATAATTCAAGTCAAATATATCTACAAACCAATAAACGGAATGTTACAAACTATGAGGGCAATATTTTTAGTGACCAGATAATACAAGGTAAGACGCGTCTGATAGTAGGCAATGGTTGTAAACTGCTGGACGGTATTAATGTAGTAGGGTTTATTGACAACCCTTATTTCATCTGTAATACCGACGGTAAGGATTAGAGGTTATTTTACCAGATATAAACTTTAGACCGCTGGGTGTAAACAAAAATAAAATGATCCTAATTAATGTGCACGTTTGAAGTGCAGGTCTTGTGTGTACCTTGAGGCAGAAGTAATAATCAAATTTTACCCTGGTTGGTTTACTAACTGTACTGTTTCCCAGTAAAATTACCAGAATGTCGGTCGTCTTTTAAGAAATGCTCTCGTCATAAGATATTCTTTTTAAATTATTAGTACGCAAACTTTCAGGTCAGGAAGTGACTTTATTTTGCATACCAAGTCAACTCCGAAACTGGTTTACTTTAATAACTTACGACGACCTGTATGTGAGAGATCTATTGGAGTGTTCTGGATTTTGATGCTGTTTCTGATAATATATGAATAATGGTGTGCGATGGTGCAGAAGAAAATCAAACGATTAACAATTACTAATCTCCTGAGTCCTTAGATTTTTCTACAAGCCCAAAAATGTTAGTGTATTGACATTGTTGTCTGCCTTGTAAACTGTGAGTGATTTTAATCTGCGATCCCTGAATGGTACTCGCAAAGATAGTATTTAGGCAAAAGACCCTAATAATCATTTCCACGCCAACATTACCACAAAAGGAGAAACACACGAACTGTAGAAGAGCGCTTTGGTTCCCATCCCGTTAGGTACTAGAGTTGCAACGCGATAAGTAGACATAAATGGAATAAGTAATCATCCAACAAATAATATAATATCGTTGAAAACAGGTTGCAAATTTACATGTTTGTGAATGCTAGTTATTTTTCATTTCAAAGGTCAGAGACAAAGTCCTGACTCGTAAATAGTGGAGCTGCCTTTACGTAACCAGTCACAAAATTATAGAACAACACCCAAATTCTAATTTACGTTATTCAGAGACAGTCAGTACTTCTAGCTCTCGCACAACAAATGTGACTTGAAGTTGACCAGTTACTTTAGATTACCGCATTGAATTAATACTATTAAGTTAAAGCAAATGAAGTTGGAAATACTTAGAACTATTTCGTAACGCGATACTACAAAATTATGCAATTAATTGTAGACATGACTTATGTAAATATGTGTGACCAAAGCAGTAACTAATGTCAAACAGCACTCCCCATACTTTACATGGTGATGAAAGAATTCCAAAAACAAAAGGTGAAATTCTGAAAATAAACGCGTTGACTCCATTGATAAATGAACAATTTTGGTTAGAAACCACATTATTTTATTGTATTTTATCTTATGATGCAAATAAATGAGTTGCAATTTATACAGATAATGACTATATTAAATCTATACAAAGAGGGAAAACAAAACTCATCGAGTGGGAGAATTTAAAGAGGCAATTTGAAATAATAAAATGTGTTGGTGAGAACAAGGTAACATTTAACTTTTGGATAATTGAAGCTAGTCAAAAAAGAAATTGAGGATTTACGGATTCACAGTCAGTATGGGTAGTAACTCCCAAATACCGGAATAAGAAAAACATAAATTATTGTTTCTTCGGGTTTACAATTTAAGTAATGGAGATTTAAGTCCTAGGAAACAAAAGGGTTTGGAGGAATCCCCGAACATAAACCAGAGACATCTAAGGAAGAGTTGAGTAAATTCCTGAAATTTCTTTGGAAAATATTTTGGTCGTACGATAACAAACATTATAAAAATTATTTAATGCAACGAAGTTTTTTTACTGGGTACTTGAACATTTGAAGATATTCAGTATTCCCACTGGCGACAGGGATCAAACAAGTTCGTGGGCATTAACCTGGTTATTTTCACGTACATTCAGATTCTGTAAACTTAAGTAAGTGAGCGGTTACGGCAATCTCACCAGATGAAAACATAAGCTAATTTAATGGAGTTACGGCGTGATTACCCGTCACTTTATAAACTCGATCTTATCGTTTTGCAAAAATATATTTTGACAAATATGCAAGTCTGAGCAACTTTCCTGGTAGCACCGAAGCGCGCCGACGTTGGCCGTAAGGTCGATTTTCGTTAGAAGATCGCTTAGCAAGATACGAAATAGTAAAGGGTAGAGTATCTCTCAAGTCCTCCTACTCTTGGATAATAAGCATTTACAAGAGCTAAGTAAAACAAAGTTAATCAATTCAAATGGAAATATTAGGTTATGATTGAAAATCGGAGCGAATGTATTCACTCAGGAACTTTCTGTAAATAAATAACACTTCGGACCTGTCAACTAATTTATTTTCAGCATTCTCAAGTTAAATTTTTGTATATTATTTCTACTCTTGCTTTCTTGTTATGTTTACATGAATTAACAACTGAAGCTATCGGACATTGATGTCAAATCTTACATTTTGTGTCATAGATACCTTTTGTGCCATATGGCTAGAAATTGAACTCGGTTACGCCAAAGCTAATGCAGTTAAAATCTGACAATTCGAGAACAACACTTTAGATTAGGTTGTCAATAAGCGTAAATGGTATGTACACACCCAGTAGAGCCCGTTTCCTTTACTATAGTTAAGTTTTTCTTTTTTCATCTAACCAATTGCTAGTATTTTCAGGTGGTACAGACGAAGCAACACCTCGAAATGAAATCAAACTCAGGTTTGTTTAAATGAATGGCTGATGCCGGTTCACAACTTTGTTAACGCACTTAAAAAATACATCCCTTAGTTCTATCGAATCCGCGGTTGAGACTATGTTCGATGACATTTTGGAATCCAAATCTAGCATGTCTTACATGATACATAACTAGAATACTTTTTCTACAAAGAGGAACATTTGCTTTGATTGCAACTACAGATCATCTCACCATGAAAAGAACTTATCTCTACAAGCACTCACTGAACAGATCCCCAGAGAAATGTTTTTAATCACAAACTTGGGGTATGACTGTAGAATATTTTAAGTGTGGGATTTTTGTAAAATCACTGTAGATCTCGAAGAACTATGCATAATTACCGCGTCCATGAAGGTTCTTATTCTGAGCAAAACCGGATTTGACTTTACTATTTCAGACCGATTGATAATGTTATTAACCTGTAACAATAACGAAATAAAATGTCAGATTATGATATCGAATAATTATGAATGAGTCTTTTCTGAGTTAATTTATATATGCAGACCTATGAACACATAGCTGGATGACATGGTAATAGAAATTACGCTGAGCGGTTAAGGATAGAGAAGAAAACCTATAGCGATCCCTCATAAAAAGTAATTTTATGAGTCACTAGGTAAAAGTGATGGGCTAGTATCAAGTTATCAACTAGGACAGGGAACTGAGTTGACAGTCATAATTTCTTAGCTAGTAGTGTTTACAAGGCAATTTTAGCTACGTTTAGTTTTATGTGCACTCACATAGACATAACAGAAGCACAACTCGAGTCACTTTTTCATCAGATGAGGCTATTTGACATTACCGATCGAGAACGAATTTATAAAATTATTAATAATAATTTACGTTAATTAGGAAGTGCCCTTTAAAATGGACAGTGATATGTAACAAAAATGTTCAAACTTACAACTCTGTTATCGATTTTTCTCTGAAACTTGTGATATTAATCTTATTAAGACAGAAACTGTACGCTTATTAAATTTATCGCGTGAGTCTAAGAATGTGTCCGTCTTACTCTGAATTTCACGAATTAAAGATGTAATACTATGAATGGACTCCAGCCATCATTGTGAAGATGAGATCGCTCCTAAAACACAGATACTAAGCTATCTTAGTCTCAGTTATGAATCTAAATAGGTGAATATTCAAGCATGTGATATCCAGCTACAGCCTATCGTACATTATGATACTTACTACCACTAATTTTTAATTGTTACTGTTACGAGCCTTGAACGCAAAATGAGTTGAAAAAATTTCCAAAATCATTGGTTTGAGACTGGATGCTAAGCTAGATACTACAGATTTCTGGGTAACCGTATGAATGAAAAATCAAATTTCATTGTATTGCTCTGTACATTTCCATTAGCGGCATTTCGACAGTACTTATCTGGGCCACGAGATCATAAAAGATTTAAAGTATGTCGCAGGTGTACTTACAAAGGCAGGAAAAAAATCCATAAAGAAACATGTCATTGGACCTTCTTTGTCCAGAGGATGGGTAGCATATGTTTGGTTTGGAACTGAGCTTAGGAGATCCTAAAATACTTATTTCCAAATGAATTTTAGGCAATCACGAAAAAAACTCAACCACTCACAAAACAGCTTTGACGAGGGTCTGTTTATATTAATATTTGGGTTAGAAGTCAAATCTTATTGGAATTTACAAGCTGTGTGCTTGTGTGCTGGCTGACAACCAAGGTCGTTTGTGAAGGTTATATTTGAAAGTGTAAACAAAATAGACTTGACAGATCTTGAGTCCGTAAGTAAAAGTCGGTCATCAAAATAACTGCCACCTTATTTTAAGGGTACACTCGGTTACATATTTGCGTACCTGTATTCAAGACACTAGTGATATAACCTGGTTGAGCAAACCCAAAAATATGGGAGATATACAAGCAGGGTAAAGGAGCAGCACTTTAAATATTTATCACAAAGGATACTAAGTATATATTATGACATCAGATAGTGAAATTATGGAAGACAAACGTAAAATGCTGGTAGACTTCTAGATAATTTCTCAATGCTAGACTAACGGAAAACGCTAGTCAGAGTGGAGATCCCTTTCGCTTTTTTTTCTAGATTTTTACATATGTTGCTTGAGTAAGAGTTAATTACTCACAGTAGAAAAACTGCACTAACTACACAGCCACTGGTTTAAATTGCTCCAAATGAAAAAATGCGTGCCATTCAAGAACAATGGTATTTTAATCGTTGAGTAAATCTCCAAAATCAAAATATTGCTTTTCTAAACTCAACTTCCGACCGATTGAGTGTTAGGATTAGATGTATTTATAAGCACGGGAACAGACAACTATGAGACTGTCAGTGGTTGGTACTAGAAAAAATACTTAGGAATAATTAGCTCATTTCCGTAGAACCACTAAGTGTTAACACCAGATTAACAAGAAATTCTTTAGACCCACCTTATCACTGAAGGAGGACTGAACAGCTCATTGCCTGTGGACCCAGTATTTCTAGATGTTAACAAGCCATCCAACGTGTCTGACGACTTGTACAGAGGCTTACTAACTTCAGAATAACAGATACGGCAAAAGATGTTAAAAGAAACTTCCTTTTTAGAAAGAGATAGGGAGTAAATGGAGCAGTATCTGAATAGAAAAACGAGGTGCTGCAAGGTACTACTACTGAAGATATCCAATTATTTCCACTGTCAATAAATTACCGACACTTCCTAATCCCTCACGATCTTTTTGCATATATGAAGATTTACAGATTAATGAACAATGATGTTGACTACCCTGATCACCAAGCAGATTTAATCGAATTACCAGAGTTTATCACAAAATCGGGGGAGATTTGACATAAATTTCACATTTGCAAGAGTACAAAACTTATGAGCGATTGTATGCCATGATTATAAAACAGTTGCATACTACGGTGAAGTAGCTTGTGGTTTTTGCGTGCTAAGATTAGTCCAGTGCTTCCAAGTGAGTATTTTGTCCCATTTATGTGAGAACATTTAGAATAATGCATTGGAGCAGCTAGCCTATATCTTATTACACATCCTGACATTTGAATGTATTCAACAAGTGTGCATAAAGCTGCTACTGGCTTTTCCGACTACCATAACGAGCGATTAGAACTACCTTACCTTTTATCACATCGCAAAGTGCAAGGTTTAGGCATTCTGTATCCTTACTAATGAAGGTTAACATATTTTTATTCTTTCTAAGCCGATCGTTAAGGTCAAAATAATGTTTAACAACCGCGACCGGACGCAGGGTGGGAAACAGTATTTTCCACCGAGTGGTCAACAATTGGGATGCCCAACCTGAACTGAAACTAGGCCAACCGAGGAAGAAACTGGACTTCCATAGAAATAATTAGTGCAAACACTAATAAAAGTCACCTGACATTCTTTAATACTGAGCTACCAATAAGATCGGATAAAACCACTCTGAATGAAATTTGAGGGTTCATATTACGAGTTAGTTATCCTCGATATGAGTGTTAAAATCTAATCATTACCCAAGTGAATAATGAAAAGTACTGACATAAACTAGACGACTAAATGCTACTTTTGTGTGGTTGAAGAATATTTAAATACTAACTAGCACTTTAAAGAAACAGCTAGTAAATTACAAAACTGACACTTTTTAAATTACATAATTGACTACGCCAGTCACAAGATTACCATTGTGGACTTTGTGCACTTTATTTAGAAGTGTGATACAGCTAACGGAATACGGTGGTTGATAATTCAACTACCACTGTTTAGATCAGCAGCGTATAGAAAACCCTTTTAGATTAGTCAACACTAAACCAGACTACCGAGACCCAAGCAAGAAAATCTACGAAGAGTATCTGCCGCAGTAGCTACCAGGAAACGCATAAATGCGGCAAAACCTTATCAAAGCCAGTGAAACATAAATTTTACTTATTTACAGCGGGATAGATAATACAACTTAAGTGTTAATATTACCAGATACTGTTCGTCTGCAATTTGCCGGCCCTGTTAATGTAAAGAAACGACGATCTCAGAATCTAGTTAAGTTTAAACATGTGATTCCGCGGGTATTATTTCAATTAACCATACTATTCACTGGGGTAAGACAATCGACATGCATGGCATATTAAAATTAGCTAACGAACCTATTTCAATTAACAAAAGGCGAAGTATCCATAATTAGGATATTGACAGAGGTATTATGGTATTTATTTAGTGAATTTAACAAGTTTAAGTTTATCATTACATATTTAGACAGTACTACAGACAAGCAGTTAGATAATTTAAGCAAATTTTTTTACCGAGTTTAGTGGTATTTGATTGGCGAAGACAAACATGAAATGCACCTCTGGCTTCATTGTCATTATTGATTATTTTTGATGACGGAGCCTCATGGTCAAATTAGTTATTTACCCGAAATTATTGTGATCATTATTGATTCCTGGACGCGCGTATGGATGGCCTCGGCCTCGTCCTCGAGGTTCTGGGATGCTGACTTTTCCCCAAGTGTCGTCTTGTCCTAGATTAAAAATTTAGACCTCAGTTAAACCCGCAAAGAGCTGCACAAAATACAGAAAAAAGTGAAGCTACCCGACCTACCATAGTTTGTTCCAAAGTCTTCAAAAACATGGGAATTGAAATCAGTCTGCTCATACAGAGTTATTGGAGGGTAGGCAACTGTATTCAGTTCATTAGCGTACACCTCGGAAGCACCAGGAACTGGTGGTTGGACAGCAACACCGTTCTTAGCAACGCCCCTGCCTATCCAAGGCTTACCTCGACCGCGGAAGGGGAGCTGCACTGGGGGTGCAGGGAAGGGAGCTTGAAGTGGTGGTGGTGGACCGCGCAAAGGAGGACGGATGCTTCTGATAGGAACATTCCTTCCAGGCACAGGCAAAGGCTGGCTTTGCTGAACCCATTGTTGAGCTGTGGGTTCTGTTTGCTCCTATAACCGAACATAACTTGGAAAAAGATTAACTCACTGGTAGCATGATCTTCCTTACTTCCGCTAATGCATGGGCCAACCGATAACATGATTCCGAGGGTGGTCCTAAACTATCAACTTGCAGGTGCAGCTTTTGCTTGAGATGCTGATATTTCGGATCACCATTGGAGAGGAGCTGCTTTTCTTTAGCGTCATCCCTCAGACTGCCAGCACCTAAGATCGCCATCTTTGTTTTGGTGGTTTCTTGCACTGCTCTCAATGTTTGACCTCCCGGACCAAGAAGTTTTCCAACAAAATTAATAGCGGGGTATTGTTCCTGTGGTATCTCTATTTTCGCCCTTACTTTTACTGGTTTGTTGCTGACCAAGTCAAATGAGTCTGCAATGCCGCCACGCAGACGGAAGAGTTCTGAAAGTTCAGTCTTTAGAAGCAGGTAAAAACATACCATTTTCTGCCAGAGAGTACAAAGCAGGAAATGCATTGCTATCCAAGTTTTGTAGTTCACGTACCAAAGCTTCAACCGTCGCCGACTGCTCTGGTCGGAGTTCACCAATCTTCATTCTTGACAAAAATACTTTGTTATGGCCGACCTTCAAAGTGTTAAACAACGGATGTTGAACAGAATTACAATTCGTAAATATAAAGTATAATTATTTTCCAATATAATGTAGCATTCAAGCTTGAATATGAATATGTCACATGAATCATAAGCCACTTGTGTAACAGGTAAGCAGGTACGACGTTCAATAATGTTGCTACAAATAAACGTGGAGCGATACACATCTCCGATTTCGTGTTCGGATGTGAAATGCCTGCTACAGGAATCGGCCTTGTGAAAAACAATTTTGCTGCAAGACAGTTGACAAGAAAAGATCAATTATTCCATGTAGAATCTACTCTGAGTAAAAGAGTCTTAATATAAATGTTTTTGGAACCTCGTAATGTGTCAGGATTTCTCGAAAGCTCCGAGGTCCATGATCCCCTGGTAAACAGAGCAACGGCTTATATGGGTACATGAAATGTCTGGACAACTTCAAGGACCAGGAGGTTCATTCAAACAGCTATGAAAATGTTAAGATTTAACCAGGCGGTGCTTGGGATAAGCGAGAGATGTTAGGCATAATACGGGAATAAAGACTAGCTTCAAGAAACGTGATACCATGTTCCGGTCACGAAGAAAAGAATCCTCCACGGTTAAAAGCAGTTAAACTGACTCTGCCCTAAAAGTAACTTAAAGGATGGGAAACACATGGATCGAAGACTATTGGTTCATTCTTAAAATCAAGGGGTCAAAGGATTAAAGTCAATGTTATCTCGTACTGTGTACCCACCGATGTTGTCAGTGATGATGACCAGATTAATGATCTGCAGTCTGTCCAAAAGAAATGCTCAGAAAAGCATCAGAACATCCGAACAGTGCACCTGAAAGCAAATTCAAAATGGATAACATGGGATGCTTACACATCAATAAGAAACATGGACCGGGATAAGAGAATAAGAATAACAGGAAACTGGTAGATCCATGTACCTTCAACAGCATGGCTTTAGGGGAAAGCACTTTCTCCCACAAACGTCTTCACAACGTTTTTTGAGTTTATTCGAATCACACCACAGAAAGCCCTGTCGGTCACAGCTACATAAGTTTAAGATTCATAGATGACGAATGAGAGAAGGTAGCTGAACTGAATTTGGGCTACCACCTTGTGATCGTATAACAATTATTTTCCAGTTTTTGTCATTTAAACATGAAACCTGGCATATTCTGTTAGTTTGATGGCTCATGAAAGCTTTTCTATTAGAAATGTCGAATGTTTTTTAATTCCTTTAGTATAAGTGCATGATATTTGCGTTTTGCCCTCTTCTTGTTGGTCTTTTCTATGCTATATGAACGAAGCAGGCATGTGAGAAGAGAATGAGACACAAGATGTCTAGTGGGCAAGTCTTCTGAATTTCAAAGGCAGTTTCAAGCGTACTAGAGCTCAGGTAACGTGTGGTGTGGGTTGCTCATATCCACACAAGTAGTTTGTAACGATGGTATGGCATTTGATGTATTTCAGTAGAAGATCGATAATGGAAGAACGGGGACGAAAAGCAATCGGTATGAAAATGCAAGGATAATAATAATCAGAGACAATGGACTGATATTTGCAGAAGGAACGGTCAAGATTGAGACAATTGATTGATAGTTTGCAAATTAACTATTTACTGTATGGTTCCTATATTTTAGTGAGATATTCCGAAATTTTGTGCTCCTCACTCGTCTCCTGGTTCACTACAACTTAGTGATAACACTCGTGATGCACAATCGGTATATAACGCTACAATTCTTGCAATTTCTTTCAGCTCCTTGTATTTTTTTATAACTGTGGTGATTATGCAACGAAATTTAAAATTCACGCGACCAACCAGGGGCGCAGCTAATACCAGGATGTGCGATAATCCTGAATTCTACCGAAAGACATGGTTAATGCTGCTTCACCGTGCTCTGTTTCAGTCATTTTATTGTTTGTTCACATCTTTAAATGTCTCATTATGCAAAATTTATATCATGTATGCAAAGCCTAAACCTTTGGTATTTGGTTCTTCTCAATCACTATATTCGTTTCATGCTCTTTGACGTTAGGATTAGTTTTAGGAGCTTAAGGAAATCAAAATTTCAGCCGTTGTTACAAGTTACTGAATAGATTTCCCAGATTGGCATAAAGCGTTTACATCGGTAATTGAAACTTGTATCCTGGATCATTACTGTAACTGTTTAGAATGCTGGTTTCTGAGTCAGTCCCGTTCTCAAAATGGTTTGTCTATCATCCAGTCACTTTATTTATTACAATAATTATTCCAATCAAAAATACGCCATTTCTCTGATTGCTTTCATACATAATTGGGATCTAACATATGTAATGTGTTAAGAAAAAAAGACTACTGCTAACATGTTCATTAATTTGTCGATTCCTGTTTTGGTCGATAAAGTCAACATACAAAAACGTTGTGGCTGAATTCATCATAATAACTGGTTTGTAGATTATGTCTCACCTACATGGTTGTAATCCTGTGTACTGTAAGTAACCGAGATTACAGATCAAATCAAATATGGATTCAAAACTCAAGGAACATATAACTAAACTGAAAACGATTGTATGCAAATGCTATCACTTTATTAATTAACAGCAGAACGTATTCCTCTGACAAGCGTAATGAAGCTTATTTAAGGAAGTATGGTAGCACGAATACTATTGTCTTCAATATATGATAATAAAACCCCATTGAAAAATTTCCTTTATCATGCTTCTTTTATTTCTTGAATGAACAACATTTCTTACAAGAAATGAAGTATTGACTTAACATGCTCCTTGAGTGTAGCAAAACTGTAATCATTTCACAAAAAGTCACCTGACAAACCAAATGACTTTTATATTTACTGCGAAATCCCAGGGATAAAATTGTGTTTGTTTTCACTGCAAGGCAGCTCATAACATTGTCTCTTAAGTAAGGCCATACCCCTTAAGCACTTGTCCATGAACATATTTGAGTCCATGGTATCACTTGATGCTATATCACCCACATTAGTTTACGATAGAACAAATTATCAATGGCCTTTAAATATTGCTCCATACGTACATACTGTCATGCTAAGCAGATTCACATCATAAATCATATAACGGTAATTTCAATTGGTTAATTCGTTTAAGGACAATTAAAACGGATGCTTAATGATCTCCAAGTATCAGAATAACCAGGGTTCTTCTAGACGAATTCGTGCTATAAATGAAGAATATCTTGATCAAAACGACTCATATATCAAAAGTTGAAAGTTTTAAACAAATTCAATGTCCCGGCCGCAGATGATCACAAATTATCGCAAAGCATATCATTTATTACTACAAGTAATATTCTCCAACATCATATGGTACATAAGTGTTGCGAAGAAACGACTTCGGATTTCTTCAAAACTGCAATCACGCACAAGTTTCAATAATGCTAGCACAACAATTATGTGGTGTTTGAATGAACCAGTGGTTCTCTTGTATTGATGACTTTTGATTTCGAATTCCAAATACAATACATTCGTTCGTGTTCATCTAATACTTGTTGGTTAAATTGCGTTGTTCCTGGGATTGCTAGTTCACACTATAATTCAAATACTCTTAAATATCACACTGTCGTCGCAATGGAGCCTACAATGGAACCGTTGAACATATATTCAGATTTTGATGGAAAGGTTATAAATCTGGACTATGACCAAGGAAGATGACGAGGATCTTAATATTGAGGCCCATTTCCTTACGTTCATCGGGAAAAAAGCATACAGACTCTGTCATTTCCAGACAGACCGATTTCACTACCTTATGCAACTCTCAAGCATCGACTACTGGACCATGTAAAGTATACAAATTTTGAATGTGGTGAAGAAAAAGAATTCAATGAAATCACTCACCCAGAGATCAGGAATTCCACTATTTTACTACGTCGTCGCAGTCCAAAACGTAATCAAGTTTATTCAGATTACAATTCATTGAGAGGTTGCGAATCAGGTCATGAAGATGAGCACAAGTTTGGTATATTCTTGTTCTGTGGCAAGTTTCACCCATGTAATTCATGTGTGTTTCGTAATTCTAAATGCTTTAAATGTGGTACAGCTGGACACATGGTTCATTTCACTGGTACTAATGCTGAAAATTGTGATCGTGACTCTGCTAAAATTGATGTTTCTAATGATCACTTATCTTTATCCAAGAATTCTAGAAGCGATATAACGTCATATAGCAGTCCCGAGTTGAATGTAACCTAAAAACATTGTGAGACAAAAGTTTCCAATCAACCAACTTCTTATCAGATTTCTCGTGTTATTGTACCAGATTATTATTATTATTAATGGCTTTATTCAATATTATAATCTGGTACAATATAGAATTCTCAGCACGAGTTATTTCAACAAGTTTTTTCCCAAAAAATAAAACCAAAAAAAAAACAAAAAACAGAAATAAAATATAAAAAAGGTTTAAGAAAATCTGAGTTTATACAAATTATCGAATATGAGACATGCTTAAGAAGACAGGTTATTTACTAGGTCAACTCTAACAGCCTGTTCGTCACAAAGTAAATTAGCTAAGTAAGGTATTACAGAACTTTTATAGATTTGCTTGCGTGCATGGATTTAAATTTATTTACGTCTCGTTCTACCGGAAGATATACAAAGAGAAAGCTATGAATGAAGCGGATGGTTAGTATCTGATAAGATAACACCTGCTAAGAGTATGGAAGACTTAAGATGTCTATCCACAAGCATATTAACAATGATTTCAAAAGATTCACCACATACCTTGCAAACTACCTTCAGCACTCTACGCAAAATAGCAAAGTCTTTTCTCAAAAGCCCGGGAAAGAATAATGGAGAACAATATAAAATAATAGGTAATATGCCGGAATTTACAAACTGTAAGAGTAAATGGCGAGTAATCCCAAAAGCATGCAGTCTCTTTATGTAGTATGTCAAACGGTAAACGTTTTTCGATAACAGTAAAACACGAGAAGATCAAGAAAGATCAGAGGAAAAAGTAACATCAAGATATTTG